AGGCAGACACAGAAAATACTTGGGTTTAGTCTTGAGAGAGAATACTGGCTTAATTTTTAGTACTAAATATACAGTAGCTGATAACAAATAGATAATTAAAATGGGACTTTCCTATGGAGGGAAACTCAGACATATTAAACCCAGGGTCAGAGAAAGCAATAAGAGCCTGGTCTGCCTTCCTTCCAGACAAAGGAAATAGTCCCTGACTCTTTAATATAAACTGGTCTGGGTCTCAAAATATGTTAATGATTAAGGACACACAGAAGAATTGGGATATTTTAGTAGATTTTCCTCTGCCTAAAGGTTTCACTGATAAAGCCAATTTCAGCAGACTAAAGATAAATTAACATTAAGAGTTCTGACCAGAAAGGTTGGACTTTAAAAGAGCCTGCTTTTTACAAATCAAAGAAATTTATTCAGTTTGTAGGTGAAAGGCTGGAATTTAATTTTTAATATTATAAGTTATAACCTAGAAGTGCTGAACTACAATTAAGCAATAACGACTTCAATTGTCAAACTATTTCTTAAGAAAGGGAAAGATGCTCAGTGCAATCCTAGCCTTTCCTCCCCACCCCTTAAATCACTGTTCTGCTGATCCTATTCTGCTGAATTCTTTTGTCTTTATTCTATAGCAGTCTAGTGCTCAAGGTGCACAACGTGCTTTGTACTGATTTTTGTCGCAGTTTACTACTGCTATTGTTGGGCACATCAGTTATTTTTTTTAATGTTGTTTCTATCTATGGAGGCTTGTGAAAAAAGCACAGATTGGGTTCCCCCCCCTCCTTTTTTTAAGATGATCATCATAGTAATTCTTGATGCTCTGTCACACAGCAGTTGCCACCTCATGCTTTCTGTTTTGCAGAGGAAGCTGTAGTGATTCTGCAGGTTTTTATTCACTTTGATTTATGATGTGCTCTCTGGTCCTGTAAAATATTTTCAACTAATCTTCAGAAGGAGTTATTGTAATGTGATTGCTGCCTCAAAGCTGTTGGAATCTGATGATGGTACCAGTGCTATGGCCTTCCTAATAATTCATCCTGATCGATGGGGAGCTGTTGCTTGAATTACTCAGAACCCTCTTGGTCACTTCATTCACTGGAGGCTGTTTAAAGGTTTATTTCTTCCCTATATAGGTAGCTTTTTTTCTTCAACGTATATTTCACTTGATGTTCAGGATCTTCTGGTGGATATTTGGACAAATTAAATCTATTTTTAAAAATAAACATTAAGTAAGAAAAATCTCAACAGGGGAATGACTTAGCATCCCTATAGTGACCATCTAAAGGCATGTGGAAGAAAAGTCAGAAGATCATACTAATAATTTCCCTGTGCTTTTCAGAGCTTAGGGGAGAAAACGATGTTGTGTAAGCAAAAAAGAAATAGCTATAGACTCAAAACTGGCCATCCTGATGTTAGAGTCCAATATTTTCTCACCAGCTTCTTTTTCACTTACAGAGCTTGTAACATATAATTCCAAATTTACTTATTTGAAGATAAGTGATTTTACACAGGATTTTCAGTCTAGCAGTGTAGTACAGAATGTACTGAAAACACAGTACCAATGTAATACTGATGAGACTCCCATAACTGGTCTCTATGGTATGCTGTTACAATGCTGGGCCTCCCCAATCACCAGTAAGGAACACAAGGGATGAAGTTAGCTCAAATCCATTGCTCTCTTCCATATTATTTTGCTAGTTGTTTAGGATTTATACATTGTACTGAGCTGAGACACTTATTCGCTCCCCTCATGCTGGTCAGGCTAACTCAGGGAGACATTCACACCCTTCTAATGAAACGAGGTAAAAACGCTTACGCCACCAGTTCATTCACCGGACTGTTGTTGAGAGCCTGTTTGTCTGAAACAAAGGCCACCCTTGGTCCCCTTTGTGTTGAGATAAAATCAACTTTCTTTGCAACAGATGCACTCAGTCACATCCTGCATTATTCCCTGAGCTTCATGGGCACAGTGCCCTTGCCCAGCTCCTCTGAGCCTTCTTCCATTATAGGGGTTTATTGGTCAGTCACAGCTGACTTGAGTGGAAATGAATGAAATGAAATAGCGGTACGTGTAACTACACTCGGGCGTTCAATCAACCCTAAAAATGCCCTGCTTCAAAACAGGGCAGTAGAAATTCTCTAACCAAAGATAATGGAAAGGAATAACCTATTCCCATGTATTTGTCTGCTCCCCGATCAAAATTCAATCTGTTGTAATTTCATTCAGTTACCAAATGCCTCTAGTGCTCTGCTCCCTCAGTTTGTGCAGTGATGAACACTGCTGCATTTCCTATATATGCATTTCCTAGGCACACTTAGGCATACAAACCCTGTATAATTTTGGGAGGAAACACAGTTTTGTACCCTGGACCCTGTATCCTGAAAGTAGAGCCTCAGCTTTCCCAAGGTGTTGTTTTGACATATTTCCTCACTTTCAAGAGGAATGTTCAGCAAAAGAACGTTGTAACCACAGACGCTTCTGAAATATGACAAGATTGTAACAAATCTTTGCAAAACAAAATGCTTGCCACAACCTCCAGGTTTACCTCTCAGGACATGAGATTACTGTAAGCATTCAGTCTTGCTCAGCAACTTAAAACTACACCATCTCTTTCATGCTTTCACTCTCCCCACAAGACTACACCAAAGGGCATTAGAGCAGTCGCTTGCTCAGAAAAGCCACCTCTTGGATTTCTCCATTGCTTTTGAATTAAGTTTTTTCCTTCTCACCTGCTGTTTAGCGCCTGTCACCACAGGACAGGAATGCCACCTGCCATCACGGCACTAAGGCCCCGTCCTCTGTGACAGGTGTATGAATTGTCCTCATGGGACTTACTGCAGAGAGGCACAGACAGCTGTGCAGCCTCCAAGAATCAATCCCTGTCTCCACTCAGCTATCTACCAATAAATTCCCTTGGCTTTGCCTTCCACGGTAGATATAACAGAGCACACTCAAATTATTTGCTGCTGAATAAAAAAAAAAAGCTTCAACAGAGAGCAAGTGGTAAGCTTTCAGACCCCAAAAAAATTCAGACCCAAAATTGCCAAAGTTCAACTCTAAAGGTTCAGCCCAGACCTGCTTGTGCCCATATTTCAAAAAATGAATGAAAATAAGGGGAATAAGTTCAATACGTAATAAACACTTTAAGATTTTGAAATTAAGTGCATAAAGTGAACCAGAAATGCTTCTGCAGATTTGCCAAAGACTGAGACCGTGGAAAGTGGTTACAGGATAAAACTGACATAGGTTGTGACAGGATAAATCTTCCTAAAGGTTACTCTATGTAAACACTGCAAAGTAGCAAAGTACTTTCTTCAAGGTACACAATAATAACTCTCTGAGCTATACCAGCAGTGAGACATCATTAGTTATGTAGAAATTTCTTCCAAGGATCCTGATAGCATTTACACTATAAATCCTAGAACTAAATCTAGAACTAAATCCAGAGAACTGACGTGTGTTGGCAGAATGCTGAATTTGCTGAGAGACCACCCTGAAAATCCACATACAAGATACACTGAAAATCCTCATCAAAAGTAACACTCTTGGACAAATGTCTTCTGTGGAATGGAAGATGAATCCAAGTTCAATGTGTACATTATAAGAAAATTTTAATTCCATTGTATTTTGTTTAAAAACAAACAAAAGGGTGAGAGTTCTTTCCCCAAAGGAGTCGCATAAAAAAAAAAAAAGAAGTTTTACTTTACTGTATCTTCTAAAAGTTTTTACCTGAGCCTTCATATTTAATATGGTTCTACTTAAAAGCATCGTGTTTAAATTAGATCCTGGCTAGGAGACGGGCACTTACTAGATCAAGCCTAATCTACTGATGGTGAGCCTCAAATAATGAGACAGTGAATACTTTATAGAAGAACAGTTGAGCAGCTCTGCTGAATCAAGGGGGAATTGAGCACACTCAAAAATCCTTTATTTTTCCTGAAAGATACATTGCAAGGGCTGTGTTGATTTTTTTGGTCAAAAATTTACAAGCCTGCATATGTGCACATTTACATCTGTTTTTTCTATGATCAATCCCTCCATATAAAGGGCTTTCAAGTGTATGTAAAGCAAACAAATTAATTAGTGTAATCAGTGTAGCTCCTGATTCTAAGAGGTATTCATTAAAATACCCCATTTGTATTTTAAAAATATAGCTAATTTTTCCTTGCAATGTAACTTTCAAGTTAATGGTGTCATTTTAATTAGATGTATTGACTGAGCCCAGGAATCATCACAGAAGATAACCCTTATACTTGGTCTGTCTCGAAAGCAGGTAGAGCCCTCAGAGGAAATAAAGACTTTAACCAGGGGGCAGAGCTAACTAGCTTTCAACGTCACTTATTTTCTTCTGTATATGTATGGGTCTGTGATTCTATTAAAATTAGTACATCCGTTCTTATTCACGGATTTCTTAAGATTAGGAAAAAATACATTAAATAAAGTATCACTGAGAACGAACTGACAGTAATTTAATCAGTCACAAAGCATCCAGAAAAATGGTGTTGCCTTGTACATGGCACATCAGAAAGCTACCTCACACTTAGCAGTAACATCATTTCTTTAAAAAGCACTAGGTTTGTAAGCAACCTGTGTATCTCATTCATCATTTTCTCACTAGTCCTTTCAAATTACAGTTACCATGAGAAATAGATACTGAAGACTGTCGGGATATCATGGATTAACTTTGAAGGAGAAAATATTATTATCAGATAAAGACTGGGAAGGAGAGAGACACAAAAATGTGGTTACATTTTAATGAAAAAAAAAATAATAGGTCATTTACTGTTTTTTCAGGCCTAACTCCTGAAATATCCTGAATTTCCTCATATATAGTGTGTCTTCCTAGGGCTTACTGCAAGCTTAAGTTCTGTTTCATAAATGAAAAACTTTGCATCCTGTTCTCATGAGGCAAAGACAATTTAATGTTATGATTGTTGGTTTTCAACAGTATATGCAGTGTTATACATGTAAAAATCTCAAAGGCGGTTTTCTCCTTTAGCAGATACAAGGAACAATTTTTCCCGCTCCAAATTTTAACCCTATTATGGATGCCCAGTTGCTGGGAGGAGCCCTACAGGGAATTAGTGAGTATCTTGACCGACTTGACTGCCTGACGCTTTTTTTTTTTTTTTTTCAGAAATCTCTCATAAAATAACAAGCATTAAGCAGAATAAATGCTCATAAAATTAAAAGTGTCACCATGTATCTGTTGATTCTTCAAGGTATCACAGTAAGATACACTGGTGATGTCCAAATAAATCATGTATTTGCATTTACAGGAAATAAGAGGTGATTAAGATTAATCTAAAATCTATACCAACACCTATAGTAATAAATGCTTGCCTTTAGAAAATGATTAAAAGAAAACAGAATTCTATGCTATGTCACTACAGTGAAGGCAAGCAAAGGAAAGGGTTTTAACTCTAATTTCAACAATTAACTATTACCAGGGACTGTTAAGTCTTTCAATCAGTCATCAAGAAATAAAAATAAATGGAGTAGAAAGTTTAAAGAATTCTCACTTTCACACAGGAGAAATTTTTGCTTTCAGTCTATGTAAAAAAAATCTTTTGTTCACTGAAGTATTTTCTGTGTTCAGTTTTTTGTGTTTTCTTGTTGAACATTGTTGGCATTGCTAAGGGTCAGAATATTGATTTATTTTTTTTTTACTATCTGAAACATTTTCCTCCTCCTTGGGCTTTTTTACAAGGTTGTACAGCACCAAATCTTGCATTCTGTTTTTGTTTTTTTAATGGAAATGTGAGGACTCGGTCTTAATGTAAAATGAATCACAATGAGTATTATTGATCAAGAAGAATCTGAAGTATCTGTTTGATTAAGTAAGCGACAGATGAAATTTCTTAAACATTTCGCTAAACTTTAAACAGTACTTGTAATGCAATATTGCTAACATGACAATGCAGAGATTATTCTCTTCATTTGCTTCTTTAAATACAAGTGTATTAACCTTAATTTTAATTTACCTATCAATGAATATGGAACCAATTTCTGATTTCAAAGCAATTGGCAAAATAAAAAGTTCAGCTTCAGAGGAGTTTTCCTCCATAGGTTTGCACGCACTGACACCCTGACCCTGACCAACATCCGTTCTTGTGAGGTGGTTCAGTCACATTTGTTGTCCCACTGATACCAGTGGTATTACACTATTGAATAAAGTCATTTAGGTCCTTCTTAGTTTTTCCTGTAAAGACTATATAAGCTGAACAGATTCCTACTGATAATTTTTTCTGAAAAGTAAAAAGAAATCCTTATGCACAGTTTCACTAATACTTCCGTTTTGTGAGTTTTGTGGAAATGAATCAGACTTGTTTTAAATCAGTCTTGCTAAAAAGCTCTATAATTGTGCCTAGATGGTCCAGAAGAAAGAGAACTAAACCTGGTGTATAATGAGCATATACAGGTTTCTTCTGCTAACTTTAAAAAATATAAAAGTCTTCGATGTCCAATTACATTTGTGTCAAAATGGAACCTGTCAGTTACCAATGTTATTATAAAATCTGTCTAACAAAGCTGTAATAGGTACAGAATGAGTATTTGTAACGTATACATATATGCCTATATAACAATGACTGGTAGAAACTTGAGAGACTACACTACTCCATTCAGATGTGAGCTGATCCCCAGGCTTTCCAGCCTAGTTCATCTCTGCTGCAAGTGTGATAAAGTCAATTGATTTACACTTGGAGATACGTTTATGCTGGAATGTCGTTTAAATCCTCAGCCATATGAAATTGCCAAGAGCCAACTTTAAGGATGGAAAGAAATTAAAATTATAAATTTATTTTCAGAATATGCTAAGCATTATCTTCTTCTTCATAAGCAGTAAATACTGATTCTTTATAGTTTAGCATTATGCTCTAGTCATCAAGCAAAAGATCATAGGCAACTTTCAACAAAATGCCCTTGGAAATAGGTTAAAATATTATATTTTTTTAAAAAATTCATAACTCATTTTATATAATTCCTCAGAAAATACATATTTTTCAGTTTTTCAACAAAAAGTCTGACCATAATTTTTCATCCCCATAAAAGAGATACCTAATCCTGAAATGACAACTTAATCAATACCAACAGGGCATACAAGTATGACTTCCCAGGCTCAGCCACAAATTTTGCCGGTGTGCCTAGTTCTAAATAGATGAAAGCCTCTATCTGTTTTATTGATGCTTTCAAATCCATTGAGCTTGAGAGAGGTGGTGATGTATCTGATAATAATGGACTACTTCACTTTTTGCTGGTATTACACCAGCAAGTGAAAGGTACATAAGGACAGCAAATATAACTGATGTTGGAAAATACCAGTGGGATATTAATCTGTTGATCGTTTTTTTTCAAGAAATAAGGTTAATCTTCTTGAACAAAACATGAACAATCACAAACGGGAGTAAATAACAACACTTTGTTAATTTAGATTCTGTGTCGTGCTTCCTTTACAGGTTGTGAAAAAGATGTATTGATTGATATCCTGACGCAGCGTTGCAATTCCCAGAGGCTGATGATTGCCGAGGCGTACAGAGACATGTACGGCAGGGTACGGCACAGCCACCTCACACTGTCATTACTTCTCTCTCTCCTCTCTCCAGTCTGCTTGGTCAGCCCTTCTCTCAGGTCAGTCACCAGCACCAAAAACCCAGCAGGCAGCTAGCTGGCACCAGCGGATTGGCACACAACTTTGTTCATTTAACTACTGATACCTCTGATGGTTTCAAATTGTCATTTATATAGCAGCAGAACTATGTCTGCCACACAGAAAATTAAAAAAAAAAAAAAAAAAAAGAAGCATGGAAAGTTTTTCTATAGTTCATTCTCCTCCTCTATTGACCAAACCAAAATTTCTGGACAGACTTATTTCTTCCTCTATGAGCTTTTGGAGGTTTCTACATCAAGTTTTTGGAACACATAATAAAATAGTATTGTAATTGGGTTGAAACACCAAAGAAAAACACCATGCCAACAATTACAGGTAGTTGTATCTTACTGATGCGCTGAATTAATGTTCTCATTTGAAGCACTGACATTCTCAGACCTCATACCATGTAATCCCATCCACAGACTAAGCACAATAGTCATCAGAGCTGCTTCACATTAAATTTATGAATCTTTGAAAGGTGTTTCAAAAATTTTAATACATAAAAAGGCAGCTTTTTTCCAAATGCATTTTATCCATACTTACTGTATATAACAAGGTAATATTTTTTAATACGGGTTCTTAAACATACACAGAGATAGGTACCCTCATTCTATTTTGAGATTTACTATTGCTAACCAAATGACTTTGGGAAAGCAGCAATGCCTGCATTTTCCTCAGTTACCCCAGCTATATAAGGGCAAAAATAATAGCAACACCTTTTGTAAAATCCCTGTGAAATCTAGTGATGAAAAGCTAAAGAAAAATGCTTTAGCTTTTGAATAAATTGACCAGAGATGCCCTTCCCCTAATAGAAGCCAGCCAAACACTTTAAACAAAATCCCGTTTTCTTCTTTTCCTGAAGTTTGAAAAAGTAACGGCTCACTGGAAAACAACTTGAAGGTGAGTGTAGGCCACTGAATCGATCGGCATGAATGACGACAGTGAATTTGCAGAAATCGTACCACACAGCCATCAGACTTAATTAGAGTTAGCTAGAAATGGTTCACTCAAAAACTCCACATTAACTGCTGATGTGATAGTTTGTTACACCACCAGTCTGTTAAACAGTAGAACAGTGTATTTTCTTTTTTGGGTAGCCAAGCAGTTTTCCAGACACAGCCTTTGTGCCACCAATACACCAAAATACCACAAAATCGTTGAGCTCTAAATATGCTGAAATGCCCCATTACTCTCCTAGAAGTGGGGGAAAGAGAAGAGTTGGATTTAATCAGCGTAGTGGGTTGATTGTGTGTTATTACTCACCTATAGGAGATCACTGACTTTACTTGGACTGTTACACAAATTCAAATATACGATACTTGTGATATTTTAAATGCAGCCTTGAATGGATTAGTATGTTTTAAATAGACCGGAAAAGAACAATAACTGAATCACAGGTATCTTTACCTTCTGAAGACTCTGACAATGACTGAAATCAGTGGAACTGAACGATTAAGTGTTTTTCTATTATGAGATATTTATTACTTTCCCATTACCATTACGCATGCAAACTGTACATGTTCAGTGTTTATCCATTAAAAATTCCTTAATGAGTTTTATAGAAAAATCATGTCAAGCAAAACAAAGGTGCTGTGATAGTAAAACAATCGAGCCCATTCTTTTCAAGTCTATATCTCCTTCATCGCTGAACAGTGTTCCTTCTCTACTCCATCCAAAGCAGCTGGCTGGTTTCTTCTAACTTTTCCTCTGCTGTGTCAACTGCATCATTTAACATTTTAACAAGGAAAGACATTTAAAAACTCCATATAATTTTTTATCTTTAATTTCTGCCCTTTGATACACAAAGATGACCTAGACATGTCACTAACGATATCTCGATAAAGAACTGCCAACTGTCTTTCAGGAACCAAGCCACCTAGACATGTCACTAACGATATCTCGATAAAGAACTGTCTTTCAGGAACCAAGCCGTGACTTGCCATATTTAGTGTTAATAGAGAATAATTATTGACTTGCTCACTATTGATTTATTTGGATTTTCTTTTCAAATCCAAAATAAAAATATAAACAAATGAAAAAATGCCTATGAAACAACAGTGCCTTTAAATTCATACCAGCCATATTCAAACAATCTGAAGCACTATAAAGCCAGTGGCCACAGACCTAAAAGTCTAGAACTAAAAAACCCAAAGAAATCTTCAGATGTCATTTTTAAGAACTTCCATTTCTAAAACTATGAATAATAATAGAAGGGAAAGGAAAGCAAACTATTTTTATATTCCAGTAATGAACTACAGAAAATTCTGAAACTCATGGACCCAATTTTGCATATAAAGCCAGAAATTTAATTTAAATTAATCTGTTAAGCACTGGGTACACTTGATAGCTGAAGATATATCAGGATATTCTTGGTAGCTTTCAAAAAAATCCCAACTAGTTCTACCTTTTGCCATGTGGGAATGGCAGTCAGTACAAATTAGTTCTATCTACTTCAGAGATGAAAGAGGAATTCTGGCTTTTTTTTTGTCTGATGTGTGAGCAGATATACTGAAATAGCTAATCTGGTTCATGCTCCATGCAGTTTATTTGATTTATCCCTCAAAACTTTGCTACCCTGGAAAGGAAATGCCAAACAGGATGTGTTTTGCCCTGAACTGCTGCAGTTCACGCTTCAGAAAATACTTTAGCACACATCAGTCATAGCATTTCACTGGCTGTAATCTGTATTACTGGATATACTACATTAGACAAATGCGCCATTCAGCAGTCCCAGCTTATGAGTGGTAAACTCTGCAGGATGGAGAAGACAGACAGCAAGCAATAACAGTTTTAGCCTTCTCAGTTTAATCTATGTCAATCTAGTCACCCACCCTCTGAATTTCAATTTGGTCTGCTCAAGATGGTAGCCACTATGCCCATTTGTTTGACAAATGTAAAGTGTGGCACATAAGAAGGAGAAATACATAAAAAAAAAAAAAAACAACCCTGAACTGGCTGCATAATTCAGACATACAGACAAGCTTTAAGAATCCTTTTTACAATTAGCCTTCAAGGATTTCTTATAGAAGAGACAAATAAGGAAATGTTAATAAGGACAACTTTCAGTTGTCTTTTCTTATTTTGTAATACTTCACTTCTCTTAGTTCTGATTGCAGGAGTAATTTTTAATTAGTATCCATTTGTATTATTAATCCATTTTCCTACAGGCGTGTTGTCAGAAGTGAAACGTCTTAATGAATTAATTTCTAGTCCATGTGTGATTTAGTGGTTGTCAAATGCATCTAATGCGCGTTCACTGAAGACTGTGAACATTTCTTCCTCATAAATTTATATTTAATGTGTATGTGTTCTCCTTCACTGCTACTCTAGCTACTAATTTAATTAAATTCAGATAGGTATCAAAACCAAAGTACAGATGCAAATATGCATTTCAGAAAAAAAGACAGTTTATAACATGGGATTCATTTCTTGAACTCTTTTAAATTCAGACTTAGGTTAGAACATATCTGACAGCTGCCCACTGAATTAAAAAAAATTTTAAAATGAGTGCAGAAGTATCCTCTTAATCAGAAACAGCAATAGTATAACTAACAAGCCTCTGGCATTCGCAGTGTTTTGAAGGATGCTACTGGGAAAGGGGAGCGTGGGGAGGAAACTCTCATCCATTAGTCAGCTACCTGGCAAGCGAGTACTGAGACACACGCCAGGAAAGAGGAGGGGTTCCTTCTCATTAATCCAGCATCTGTCAGAAGTAGTGAATTCAGTTGGAATGTAATATATACATAAATTGAAGCACACAACCAAAGCAGATATTTTTATGTACTAGGAGCAAGATGGATGTTTTTTTAAATTATTCACGTAGAGTAGCACTGAAAAAAGCCCAAGAAATCACCTGTGTTCTATGGGATTTAACTTCCAAAGGTCCTTAGCTCCCACTGATTCTCACAAGGAACATGCCAAGAGAATCTGCAGATGCTCTGCCATGGTATTCAGGTTTCCAAGCCTTTAATAGCTCCCACTGATTCTCACAAGGAACATGCAGATGCTCTGCCGTGGTATTCAGGTTTCCAAGCCTTTATGTTGCACTTAAACTCCTGAATTTTCTTCCGTACTCTACTGAACCAAAAATCAACAATCCTATGTAGTCCTTGTGTGTCTGTTGTCATCTCACCCATACTATTAAAAGAAGCAGGTACAATTTAAAAGTATGTTTTTCTCATTTAATTTTAGCCAGAATTCATCTTGAACAGCTCATCTTTATTCATTTACAGAGAAACCCCCTAATACTCTTTTTAACCTGACTTCATAAAGCGTAACTATTGAAATAATCCTGTCTATGCATTTTCTTTTCAAGGATCTGATAACGGACCTAAAAGAGAATCTCTCTCATCACTTCAAAGAAGTCATGGTTGGCTTGATGTATCCACCTGCCTCCTATGATGCCCATGAACTCTGGCATGCCTTGAAGGTACTTGTCTAATTCAGAATTGCTTAGAGTCACAGTCACTAATTACAGTACTGAACATATGTTAAATTGATTTTTTTGACATTTAAATGGTTGACAAACTGCTGGAAGTTAATACACTGGAATACTGTGCTACTATGCAGTACACTAGGTCATTAGATATAAATGCTATATAAGTTTATTAATTGGTATGCTAAGACCAGCACAAATAATATCTTGGTCATGTAAAAAAATACAACTGATTTAACACCCACAGTAAATTCAGTAAGTGAATAAGTATTTATACGGGGAAAGGTAAGGCCCTGATCCTGCAAGCATTTATGCATGTTACGAGCAAGGCTCATTTGAGCAGTCAGTGCCATACACTAAGACTCCACCTCTGAAGAGACCAATGCTTCTTTAGTAGAACATGTTTTTACAGAAATGCTTGCAAATTACTCTGTGACAAAGCAATGATCGCTCCACTCAAATTGAACTGATTGCACATTTTGAAGAAAGTATTTCCTATTCTTCCCAGGATCTGAGCCTATGCTGCTTAAACAACCGATGTTTTGAAACAAACAGAACTACTTTTTCAAAGGTTGTGTAATTAAATGGTGAAATCCACTCCCTCAGGACAGAAGCACAAATGAGTTTATAAAGGACTTCAGCAAATTCCTAGAAAACTAGTCTACTGTTGGCTATTGAAAATAACAGTCCTTCCAAATTCCTTCTCAGGAAATTCCTAAATTGCCAGTTCCTGGAAGACAGAAACATATCAAAGCTGAAATGTTTTCCTTTTCTTTTTGCTACTGTCTACTGTCAAAAATATAATCCAGATTATACGACTCTGAGCAAGGTGACCTATCTTATATATTTTGAGAATCCCCTCAAAAAAAAAACAAACCCAAAAAAACCCCAAAACCCACTGTTTTTTCTTGTCCTTCAGACACTTAAACCAATGCACTTTCTAGAACTACTGATGTATTTTTACTTACAGTAGGCATTAAATGGATTGTGAAATATCATTGGTAGCACTGGAAGCATGACTTTTATTAAAATTATTGATAAGATTGACAAATAAGGTTTTGGGTTTTTTTCTAAATGCAGCTCAAAGTTAACTTTTCTTACAGTTTTCTCTCTTTACCTGGATTCATATGCCCAAAGTAAAAAACAGACCATACGTGTCTTCAGGCTCAATGTCCTGTTCTCCTATTATCTCAAATGCCGAATACTCTTCAACATGATACATGTACATATCAAAAGTCGGTATGCAGTGAATCTTATTCCAATTCAAGTTCTAAAAGTTAGTTTAAAACCTGTGGGAAAATACAGTGATTTGCAGCACTTCATGCATGGCCATGATGTTTCCCTTAAATATCAAGTTCTACAATAGACATCACAGACTTTAACATTCCTAAATAAAGAAAGAAAGAAGACAGAAGCACAACATAATACTTGTACTCATATCTACTTCAGATTGCTGGAACACTTGCTGTGGATGTATGCTCAAACTTTGCATCTGATTTCTTTCTGCAAATCCTAAATTCTTACTAAAGCTCTAAAATTCTTCCTATTATGTTTCTGTCAACACTAGTCTTTCTTCATTCCTCCCTTGTTAATGTGCATGCTAAAATTCAGATTAAGTAGCGATGCTATTTGCAATACAGGGTTCTACTATTAATTTAAAGTCATTTTCTATTTAAACAGGTAGACTACACAAAAGTACACTCTGCATTGTTCCAGCAGAGACCACTATTCTTTTGTTACTTTTGATAAGCGCAGCATTGCTTTCTTCTGAAAGATGTGGTTTCTACTAACAACATCTTTTCATATTTACTTCTTTCCACACAGGGAGTAGACACAGAAGAAAACTGCCTAATTGACATACTAGCCTCACGATCAAACATGGAGATCTTCCAGATGAAAGAAGCCTACTTAATGCGTAATGTTTTTCACAAGCACACAGTAGCAGTTGTACTGTGTGTGCTCTGGATGTATTAGCAAACACGAAGGAACTGAACTACAAAAATGACATCTCAATACTACCTGGTTCCCTTTCCCCTCCTCTCCCATAATCATATACAAAAGGCTGAAGCAAAATGTTTAAAGTTGAAAATGTCATAGTATTTTTGAGATATATTACTGCCTAGGACATTTGAAATACTTCGCAGCCACATCCGGGGATTTTCAGAAACTTGCACACTTTAAAAAAGATGTAAGCTGTTTCCCTTCAAAAAGTGCTTACTCAGGCTGGAGACTCCTCTCACCTGCCTTGATGGTCATCTCCAAGTATCCCACCATCACATGGCAGCAGCAGTGGTAGGGCTGCGCCCATGGGTGGGTGGGTAGGTGAGACGGGGCAGCGGCTGAAGTCCCCAGCAGGGCCACGTAGAAGCCGCATGGGTTACCGTGGAATAGCCATTATAGAAAATGGACATGTATTAGCACCCTACTTATTTATCCTTTGTTTGCTAATATTCACTAGTGCTACTCAGAGAATGCTCATTTATGATTTAGATTATACTTCTTTGTTTTAACCTAGAATATAATAATGATCTTCAACAAGACATTGATTCTGAGACTTCGGGTCACTTCAGAGATACGCTCATGAACCTTGCTCAGGTACTGTAAAAACAAGTAGTAAGAGAGTATGAGTTTGAGAAGTCTTAAATTTTAAGGTGACTATGGTTAAAGATAGTTCAATAGGGCTACACTTTTGAACAAGAGAGGGGAAAGAGCAGAAGAGGAAAAGAACTTGAATTTCTCCATCTACTTTGACTTTGGCTTTCAAATGGAGGGAAAGGTCAAGAGACTGTTTCATTAAGTCCTTGGATATTCAACTCTTGACCCTCTGCTCAATCTGTCTCATCTTAAAAGGAGTTTACTTGCATGTACAAATAAGGTTTTTAAAGCTCTGTTTTCTCCATTGTTAGAATACATGATTCAGTCTAAGCATAATGTTAAAATGGAGATATCCATATTTGATTATAAAAGAAAGTATTAGATAGTTCTCTGGTTTAAACATTATGGGTTTTGTGCTATTGCACATACTAAATCCCAGTGTGTTTGCACGCAGGCAAACGAATTATCACTATCACACACCAACTTTCGCAGTTTTACCGGTTTGTAGTTTTATGCAATGAAGTTGGCCATACTTATCAGTTCATGACTTCCCATTCCATTCTAGTCCCTGTGCTCATTATCTTAAAAATCTTTTGTAAACCAGAGTAAGAAATAATGACAAAAGGACTGCCAGGAGACAACAGCATACAAAAGGTAGACCTATACTTTTATATATGTGTGTCTGGGAAGAAATATTTCTTACTAAGATTTGAAATGGCAGTAGGCTTCACGGAGATGCAGAGATAAAGAACAGATGTTTCAAATGTAGAAGCTATAAACAAGAAATTTTTTTTCTAATGTTACATGCTTTTTTCCCCATAATAATGAAAATTCTTCCTTGCATAAAAATGAAGAACTATAGGTTAAGCAACCTCACTTCTCACCTTTGTTAAAACCATGAGACATATTTTACTTCTCAAAAGAACAAATTTAAAATAAATTACGTCAGACTAAATTAGTCCTTATTTTCTTAAACCACAGATATTCATAAAAAGGCCTGAAATCAGCAGCCTCTTAGCTAACAAGATCAAACTGCTATTTTTCAGAAGATAAAGAATAGTTGCAAGAAATTCCAACTTTATTCAGTTATACTGCATACTTCTGAAGACTGTTACTTGAACCATCCATGTTCAGATATGGTCGTATATTAAAAGTCAGTGGTATTTCATTAAAAAATATCCATTCTAGTACCACACAACTTACAGAAGATTATTCTACAGCAACATTTCAAGTGCATCCCTTACTGGATTTTTTTCCAGAAACTCTTTGCTTTGATTTCGATTAAATCTTGGGACTTTTGGCACACGTACACACCTGACTGTGGACAGAAGTAAATGTGTTTCACATATGGAGAGCAAACTTTTCAGTTGCTATAGTGTGGCATTTATGGTTTTCATGTCCACACTGAGGCAGATTATAAGTTACAAGTCCTGGAATAGTTAGTCCTTCCTAAATAAATGAACTGATTTACAAGTTCAGGCTAACTAGTATTCTAGTACGAAACAAACAGAAGCTTTTTATTCAAATCCTCTTTTTTCTAATATTAATTGAAATATGATATTTTCTACAATTTAAAAAATAATTATACATATTGTGGGATTCTCCAGCAAAAACTATGCCAAGAGCAGTCACTGTTAAATGTTAATAAGGAAAGTGGACATTTGACTGTAGAGAATTGTTTAACTTATTTTATTGTTCGCTTGTCTGTCTTTTTTTCCTGTGTTTTCTCATGTATTTAACTTTATGCAGTCATTCCAGCATAATTTCCTTCAAGTAATTAATCTTGTTAGTAGGAATTCCACTGTGTGAAATTCGTACCGCTTAATTAAAGTATAAATTAACGTTTTTAATGGAAAAGAGCTACAAATCAGTCATTCTACAAGTTGATAGCCAATGCATAATTTTAATTCTCCCTTTCACATATAGGGTAAAATGACTGTAAATTTTAAACTAAATTGCTTCAAACTTGTATCATTAAGGCAGTGATTACATGCAGCTTGGGATTCTTAAGAGTTCTGCAACCAAGGCTGAGTTGTACCCTTACAAGACAATTACAGTTAAAAAAGCAATTCCAAAAATTGTGCACTCTTCTTTTTTTCTAACAAGTCAGATCATGGCGTGTTTACTAAAGCCTATGAGCTTGATTTGTGTAACTGAAAAGCTATTAAATGTATGGGAAAATAGGGTTTATATATCAAAGTTGTCAAACAATTTCCTAGTCTTGGATCTTAATTTTAGACCATGGTTATGAGCAAAATCTCCATTATTTGATGTGTTTGCTTTTACAGTTTGTGCAGGTAGAAAAAAAAAAAAGAGAAAAGATTCTTCTGTAATATGCATATTGATAAGAAACAATCAGTGAATGGTAAATGTTACTCTGATCCTTGTTTTCCCCTCATAGTTCCATGTTATAGTAAGCAATATAACATCAATAATAGTGGAAATGGTGGTGGGATGGTGGTGATAAAGTAAATGCTTATTTAAAACAGGACTAAAAATGGGATAGGTTTATCCACTTCCCCCATTTTTCCCTCTCACAAGACCATTCGTCGTTCCAGAGTTCCTCTACTTAGAGGAAAAGAAGGCAGAACATGAAGACTTGAAGATATTTTCCACAGTTGCAAATTCAAACATTGAATGGGTTGATCCAATCTAAAAGCCCATATGGGCTGTCTCAAGAAATGAAACATAGCTCCATATAGAGACAACTTTATATTCCTGCAGCCTTTTAAGATCTAACTTTTGAAGACAATGTATATTTTTTTTTCCCCCAGGGAACAAGGATGGAAGGATATGCAGATCCTTCTACAGCTGCTCAGGATGCAATGGTAAATATAGTAAGATGTGAGCTTCTCAAACACACACAAAAAGGACAAATACAAATGTTGAAAAGTGATTTAGGACTTACTTAAAATCTTTTGCATTTTTTTCCTTTTTCTGGTATATTAGATTCTATGGGAAGCATGTCAGCAGAAAACGGGCGAACACAAAAACATGCTGCAAATGATTCTCTGCAACAAGAGCTACCAGCAGTTGTGGATGGGTAATCCAGCAGTTCAGCTGTTTGAACATAGAGTGGAAAGGATAAAATCTGACTTGCTAATAAAACCATGGTTTACATACCAAGATGCTCAGTGTGCAGCAGGGTATTAGCTAGAAATCTAAGTGTGAACTGGTGGAGCTCTCAGACTCCCACTGATGTTCATAGGATTTTGGAAGCAATGCAAAGCTGAACTTTGGCTGATGACTACAGAGAGCCATAGACAGAACAGCCAGACATCAGGATGCCTAATGACAGAGAGAAGAGTGTGTAACCAGAGAAAGGCACAGGCTACGGCTGCACTGAGTTTACACACAACACCACAGGATGAAGCAGATTCTCTTTTAACTATTTTCTTCATTTTTCTTAAGTAACTCTTTTCTGTGAGTGGAAACACCTTGAGCGAGGCAGTTGGAGTATTTTCAACATTTGTACGTGAAAACACATTACGCTGAAGCATTTCCCTGGAAGTTTCAAAGAAGTTTTTGATGAGAGCACTTCAAGGTCCACATCCACTCTCTCATAATGAACATACACACAGAAACATAATGGGACATTTTATTTGAAATACATGATCAGACACAATTACAGATTGCAAGAAATTTATGAGACATCATCCAGATTTTCCACTATAGGAAAGAAACCTGTTATATCTGGTTTGTGACAAGTTTGAGATGTCTTTTGCTCTGTAGTGGAAAAAACTGGCTGTTTGGTGACAAGTTTATCGCTGCGCAGCCAGCTGTATTTCTCATGCCAGCTTCTACCAGTAACTTAGAACTACTTTGCTGCCATGGATCAAAAAATTAATTCTTCTATCATGACTCCTGTAAGGCTGGTGATGATAGGATTTACATAATGTAACACACCTGCCTCTGCTCTACTCTCTTTCTGGAACAGAGATTTGAGGGTTCTGCCTGCAGTGCAGTCCTCTGTAAGTTCTGTAGTAAGCCTTGAGGTGAAAATTTTCCTCCTTCCCTAAAGGAGTAAGCACACCCTGTACATCTGTGCATGTAAATCTGTACACCTGCACTATCCAGAGAGCGCCCTTATCTGGATAATGACATGTTACACGTGTCCTGCCACGGTGTCCTGGTTTGACCCAAACCATGACACATGACTTCTTGTCATAATCTGTGAATTTGTCCAGTTTTAGCCAAGCTGAGCAAGGAAGTTTGCTTAATGAAAATCCAGAGAGAGAATGTCCTGGAAGCCAGATTTCAGGCTACTGATTTAGATTGCCTTACCTGGGGGATATAAACATAATGAAACACTGAAAATAAACAGGGAAAAAAATAAACTCAATAGGTATAGTACGCGAGGGGAAGCAAGGAAAAAAAAAAAAAAAAAGGCAGGTTGATCATTATTAATGAACTAGAATAAAGCAAGATATTTTTTTCCCCCAAGTTTTCCAGGAGTTCCAAAATATCTCTGGGCAAGACATAGTAGATGCTATTAACGAATGTTATGATGGATACTTCCAAGAACTACTGGTTGCAATAGGTAATGTAAAAATATCATTTTATACTAGCAGTAGTGTCTTAATAAATATCTGGTATGCTATCTCTGATGCATCAATAATACTATTGTTATGATATTTTTATCCACTTTGCTCTCCTATATTGTCATTAATTTCTCAGAGATAATTAGAAAAGACTATTTGAATGATTTTTTCATGTTTGTTAAAATCTAAAAATGTTATGCAGCACTAGATTCCGACTGAGCAGAACTAGTATCTGTTCTTTATTTGATAACAATTTTTGTGTGATCAATGAAAACTGCATTACCAACTGACTCTACACAAATTAAATAATTGGCAAAGTTTTCAAGACTTCAGTGGTATATAGACAAGTTCCTAGCTTTATATGTCTTTGTTTCCCATTTATAAAATAAGGATAATAATATTTCTACAAAGATGTCATATGAACATATTCACTGATACGTAATAAGTCTGTCAATGCAACAGCAATGAGCACCCACCCGAAATAAGTACCAGACATTTAAACTATAAATATAGTTATGTTTGTGAAAACTGGTAGCTTAATTTTAAGCTGAGTCACAAATAGCACTACCCAGCTTTATATTTTAAGGAGCCTGAAGCCAATACAAAATTATTTTATAGTAATCTTATGTTTACCTGTTTCAACTCTTCTCTCCTAGTTCTCTGTATTCGTGACAAGCCTTCCTATTTCGCTTCCAGGCTTTATAATGCAATTCATGTAAGTAGTCTTTTTTTTTTAGATATCATAAAAAGTTGTTTCCTTGTATTTTTTGTTTTCTTGATTACTCTTAAACAAGTACTTACAAATCAGCCTGTTCAATCTTTAAAGTGTGATTGCATGTTTTAAAACTGTTGGTACCTACATAAATTTCAAAGCAGTAGGGCCTAAGCAAGAGATAGGATTTATTAGAAAAAGGTTAAATATTTAGATTCCTTAAAAATATATCTGTTGGGTAACTTTGTTGATCTGGTTTTTTTTTAAACTGAAAATCTTTGTTTTCTGTGGATTGTATCTCCCCCTGCTGTGCAGAACTCAATGTGCACTTTTCTTACTATGCTTTTTTTTTTCTGTAGAGATATAATAACTATCACTAAAAAGTAAATCGTAAATCGTTGCATAAAACCAAGCGGTTATATTTTCTTGTAGGGCTATATACACACACACAGAGGTTCCACACACACACAGAGGTTCTTTTATCTTTGTGTGTAAGTGCTAACATGCTAAAACAAATGAGTGCCAAGAAGAAATGCAGTTAAATGCAAAGAAACACCTAAAAATTCTTCCTACTAGAGGTCACTGAAGATATTTTCTTTTGGTTTTCATTCATTAGTGAAAGTGCTGAGGCATTTTGTTGTATGAAAAATGAAATATAACCTTTTCAGATTAATCTTTTAAGGGTGATCTTTAGAAGGTGGTCAGAAAAGCCAGCCATGGCTAAAATGTGAAGTATCATCTTAAGCAGGAATGGCAAAGATAGGATTCAAGGCAGAACCACCATACAAAAGTTTTCAGCAATACTTTGACAGGGTTCCAGTGTCCTCTTCCAGATGCTCCACTACTGCTGTCCCCTGTCTCAGCTAAACCAGTAACAGTGGCAGCAAAAAACAAAGGAAAATCTTGGGGGCTGAGAAGAAGAGGCAGTATTTTGTCTGACGGGTCGAAGGAGGATTCTGGCACATGACATGAAAAAGGTTTTCCAAAAGTACCAGAAAATACCAGCTATCAAGAAAAGTGACATTTCTCAAAGGTCCTGTATCAAGACCGCTTTTCAAGTTAAAACCTCTTTTTTAAGTTTAAGAAATACCACATAGATACTTTTCTTCTATACTATATTCAAATTATATATGAGATGCAGGAAGAAGTTTTTCACAATTAAGACTGAACATTTGCATTTTGTTTTAATTAGTATTTTACTCTGTTTTCTCAGTGTTTTAATGAACACATGTAATCTCAAAAGAAATGCAAGAATTTAAAATAGAGTCTGGTTTTGCAACCAGATTATGTCCAGATAATACCAAAACTTTTATCCACCCATTTATAATACAATATAATAAAACCTACCCAGGATTATAATACTTGAAATTATAGTCCATAATGGTTTGCAAGAATTTTTTTAATCTAGCCATCAAGCACGTATCAAATTCTTCCTGTGCAGCTTTGTAACATATCTCATTACTTGTTTTTTGGAGAACAAGATTTCAATATCAATAGCTAGTCAATAAAATTACAATGTAGCTTTAAACAATCTAAATTGGTCTGCAGGCATCCCAACCCTAAATCTGTTTTGGTTATTTTTGGTACCACTAGATGTCCCTGTTCTCCACACAATTACAATATGAAAATTAGCTACAATAAAATACAGCTGAATACAAGCTATGTAAATTCTAAATCAATAGTTTAAAAATCTCACTGAAATTATATTCAGCTGAAGATGTGAAATAGATTATTTGCTTCAGTATAGGGGTCTAGAGCACAAGCCTTTTGAGGAGTGGCTCACAGAAATGGGGCTCTTTAGCCTGGAGAAAAGGAGGCTGAGCGAAGACCTTGTCACCCTCTACAACTACGTGAAAGGAGGTTGTAGCAAGGTGGGGGTCAGTCTCTTCTTCCAAATAACAAGCCACAGGATAAGAGGAAAAGGCCTCAAGTTGCAGCAGGGGAGGTTTGGATTGGATATTGGGGAAAAAATTCTACACTGAAAGGGTTATCAAGCATTGGAACAGGCTGCCCAGCGAAGAGGTTGAGTCACCATCCCTGGCGGTATTTAAAAGACGGGTAGATATAGGGCTTAGAGACATGGTTTAGTGATTGGTTTTGTCAGTGCTAGGTTGATGGCTGGACTAGATGATCTGAAAGATCCCTTCCATCCTGGACAATTCTATCATTTTATGACTCCACAATGACAGTCACAACAAGAACCTACAAACTGAGTACCTAAGGCTACTGAAAAAAAAGGTCATCAGGCTTTTCTTTTTAAAAGTTTTGGTGCATGGTTGAAACACTGATATGTGGGGAAGCTCATGTTATTCAGTAACATGAATTCTATTATGTGAAAACTGCAGGATAAAACCTTTGAATTCTTAGACTCTCTTAAAATCTAGGATATCTTTACGGAGAGCCTAATTAATTGGCTTATCTATCAAACATTAATATGAGCACATACAGACAGGCAAACACATATTGTCCAAATATTAAGTTTACTCTTATTTTGTTTTCTTTTTAGGACTTTGGGTTTCACAATAAAACAGTTATAAGGATTCTCATTGCCAGGAGTGAGATTGACTTGATGAACATTAGACAGCGATACAAAGAGAGATATGGGAAATCACTCTTTCATGACATTAAAGTAAGTTTTTACACACTTTTTCATATATTCGGCACTGCAATCATACAGACTATGCCATGGCCTGCCAGAAAAATAGAGGTTTAATCTCCATTCAATTACATGAATTTATTCAATTAAAAAAAAAAAAAAAGCAATGTATAGAACTAATACTGTATCTTTTCAGTGCCTCAGGTTGACTTCATTAAGTGAGCAGTAAATTCTCAACTCACTCTCATTCTATATCATTTTGTCCCTCCCTGGTAGCAAGATGAGGATTAACAGGGCAGGACAATGTACGCTGAGGATAAGTTTGCGTGAATAGTTTCTACACTCATTGATATCATCTTCTTTCATGCTGTCCTGCAAGGTTTGGCTGATACCAAATTTGTTCAAAACGAAGAAAAATCAGATTCTTTCCTTGCACTTAGGTAGCTTCAACCTTCAGAAAAACTATTCCTCTTGTACTTTTCCTCTGTATTCTAAACAAAACTCTGACATGGTTTAATTGTACAAAAATTACTCTTGCTAAGACACTTTATCTTTTTTATATTGCTATAATTCAACAGTAAGATGTGCGGTAACTGTAAGAAATTGCTCGTGATTTTTTGGTATTGAACTTGAGAAGTATTGAACAGGTTTGATCCAATCTCCAAAGGGAGATTGTTTCTGGCTGCCCAAGCAAACAAAGCTATGAGAAATTAAAAAAATCTTAGCCTAGAAAAATTCTTAGCCTAGAATCCTTATGAAAACACTGTAATATTTTGTAAAACCTTATAACATCTATCTAGTCCTTGTCACACACCAAAAGAAGAAACATTAAGACAACATATAGCCACAGAAATGTTGATTTATTTTTTTCTTGCAGCATTTTGCTTCAGGGCATTATGAGAGTGCTTTACTTGCTATCTGTGCTGGTGATGCTGAAGATTATTAAGGAAGAAGACAATGAACTTTGAAGGCTGTATAAATCCATTTTAAATAGAAATTGAAGCTATACACAATATACTAACTGTAAGAGATTCTTAATCTACATAATAGAACAGAAAATTCAGAGCTTTCCATTTGCTAATATTAAATCTTTCTTGAGACAGGAAAAAAAATGTTGGCAGGAACATGGTTTTATCGCTATTTCTGTTTCTATTATTAATGTAAATTAACCAAGCAAGTAGTAAAATAACTCCATGTAAGCATGTGTTTATCATTTAGTCTTGCAATATCCCAAACATTAGACAATGGGCTCTGGAAGAACCTATTAACTTCCACACTAGAAAGAAAAAACTATTTGCTTTATTCACTTTTAGGAACATGATTTCTTCCTTTAAGTATTTCTTTTCTTTCCCACTTATTATACCTCATATTTTATGCTCTTTAATATTATTGTTTTGTTATTATCAAACTAAGCATCTGCCCCAGTCTATTATCAGTCACTCACCAAAAAGCGTATTGTATTCTCTTTCACTTAGCCCACACACTTAATGGCATTTCCTTTTTTCCATTTGAAACAAAAGCTAAAAATAGAATCAAGTGTCCCAAACCACTCTCGATTTAGTGCCATGCACTGGAAACCCCTGGAAGGCAAAGCAGTATATAACTTTGAGCGGAGGAGTTCCAGAGGAGTAAACTCCGAAATTCCATTTGCACCTCTCATTTTATTCATTAATTGTATATTGACCTTCAGAGCACTGAGGTATCTCCAGGATGCCCCAGATGGTAGCAGTAGGTAACTCTGCACCTACAAATGAGGCTGAAGGAAGCAGTGCTCCTCAAAATACCACCAAACTCAAGTCTGACAACATCTGGTGACAACAGCTCGTACCACAACGAGGAAAAGAGGCAGAGCCCAGCCATGAGTCCTCGTCCCACGGGAAAATGTGTCACTGCTTTTAAATATCCTGAGTCTATTCAGTGCAGCTTCTCCATGAGATTCTCCGGCCCGTGTGTTCCTACCTCCTCTGTCTCTTATGCAAACAGACATAAGCAAGGGAAAATTTGGTAACATTACTAAAATAAATCCCCTTTGTTCTTCTGCTACAGCTAAAAGGTTTCCAACTTCACACAGATGTTTGCTACTTTTTTTTATCTAGGTACTTTCTGCAAGAGTAGCTCAGTATGCCTGAATAAAGCACGACTATGAAAACATACAAATACGTGGTTGCTTTTTGCACCTGTCCCTTCCAAATACGTGGTTGCTTCCCTTGCACCTGTCTGTGAGCATGACGTTATTTTCAGTGTACCTTGCTTTTTTGCAACTATTGACTTCATGTTACGAATCTATTGATTTAAAATAAACTTAAAATCTCAGCTGAATCCCTCTTGAGTTTGACACATTTCAAAATATTTCAGGTGGATAACGTAATCATTAAGCCAGAACTTTGGAAGGAATGGCTCTGAGAGGAAAAATGAAGAACAATGAGAATGAGATGGGCACTGTCCCAACTTGTCAGGATGAACAAAATCCTAAACTTAAGTTATTAATGATTCTGCAACTGTAGTTAGAGGTAGCCAATAACAGCCGTACCTCAGCAGAGTGGAGTTACTTCGCTTTAACTCTGTACACTTGCAGACAGGAATAAGGACACCTCTCTCAACCGCAACCGCCTTGTTCTCCCGGTGCCTCCCGCAGCACGAGGTCCCGAGGCCGCCTCACAAGACTCGAGGCGGGAATTCTGTGGGGAGCCCGTCACAAAATGGCGGCGGCGGCGCTAGGGCCCGGCAGCCGTCCTGGGGCGCAGCCCCCCACGCGCCGGGCAGGGCGCGAGTCCCAGCACCGTCCGCCCCGCCCCTCACGGCCGCATCACACTCGGAGAGCTCCGCGCGCCGCCCTCACGGCACGGCCTCACGCCCCCGTCTGCTCTGACTGGAAAGTGGCGGTGTCAATCTCGGTTCTTATCCAATCGCCACCGCGTCTCTCTTTGCCCCTCCCCCCACCGGCTGCCAGGTTCCACTTCCCTGGAGTTCTGAGCTCGCTGGGGTCTTCGGCTCCGTTGCTGCGTCCCACAGCCCCCCGGCGGCGGGGGCTGGCTGCCGCTGAACTGGAGGCAGCGGGGCAGCGGGATGGGGCGGGGGCGCCCGGCCGGACCGCCTGTCAGCCGGGCCCGGGGCAGCGGGACGAGGCGGGGGCGCCCAGCCGGCCCTCCGGCGAGGCGGGCCTGGGGCAGCAGGAGCGGCGGCCTCGGCCTCCCGCCTGCCTGTCGCAGATGGAGGCCAGCCTGACGTGCGCCGTGTGCCTGTCCCTCTTCGAGGAGCCGGTGACGCTGCCCCTCTGCTCGCACAACTTCTGCCGGGCCTGCGTGCTAGAGTGCCTGGCCTCCGCCTCGGCCGCCCGCCTGCAGCAGCAGCGGGGCCAGGGGCAGGTCCGTCTCTTCCGGGGGGGCCCGGGGCCGGGCGGCGGGGGCGGCGCGGCCGGCGCCCGGGTGTCGTGCCCCCTGTGCAGGAAGCTGTGCCCCCTGCCCCGCGGCGGCGCCGCCGCCCTGCCCGTCAACACCACCTTGGCAGAAGTGGTCAAGCTGTACCGGTCCGGCGCGGCAGGGGCCGGTAAGGCCGGGGAGGCAGAGCAGGGTCCGGGGGCCGGCCTCTTCTGCCCGTCGGCGCTCGGGGGAACCTGCCAGAAGCACCCGAGCCGGCCGGTGCAGCTCTACTGCCGGATGTGCCGCCAGGCGGGCTGCGGGCAGTGCGTCTCCGAGGAGCACCAGGGCATCTTCCACTCCGTCAACCTCATCGACACCGTCTACCAGGAGGAAAAAGTAAGCGCGGCGCTTCCCCTCCGCGCCGGGGCTCCGGCTGGAGGTCGGGCTCTCCCGCGGGGCGTCCCCTCCGGGCCCGGGCCGCAGTTCCCCAGAGAGGAAGGCGGGAGGAGGGCGGGCGCTGCGGGGAAGCGGGGGTCAGGGTCTGTTGGTGGCCTCCCGGGCTGTGCCTTCCCCACCCGCCGCCGGGCTTCGGCCACCACATACAGGGGACCAGGTGATACTACGGTACGGACAGTTCTGTACCCAACTTACCAAAGCACCTGAAGAGTTCGGGGGAGAGGGGGTCGTGGGAGGGTGTGGTTTGTTTTGTGGGTTTTTTTTAATATAGAGACTGGCAGGCTTTGCTGAGAAAACTCGCTGGTGATGAGTTTATTGCATGTCTGAATCCAATTTTTCCAAGTTCAGGAAGACATTAGGTCTACTAACACGAAATAACCCCACTCACTCTCTTGTTTATAGGCTCTCTGAGCTGGCATGTGTAATTTGGGTCATAGATAATTACATATTTAGAAATAGGTGGTTTAGGTAAGTCATAATTTAATAAATGTAAAGCCAAAATGCGTTCCTGTTTGCATGAAGAAAGCACCTGCTTGGCCTAATGGTTAGTTGGCTGGTTGTAGTGGTAGTAGTTGTGATTTTTTGCTGAAATAGCTGCCATTTGGGTAGAATGAGCTTTTCGTGTTCTATGCAAATGGGGTATAGGTTAGCACGTCATACAGCGGTTCTGCTGTGTAGTAATTGAAACAATTGTAGGGCAGTGATGAAGAGTATAGGTGTAAAAGTTTAAGTACAGCACCGACTATTCTTTAAGCCAAAAGTTGCTTTTGCACTGATTTCCCTCCTGCCTCTCCCATCACTTATTGCATGTCACTCAGGGAACCAGGGGAAAACAGTCTTTGCGCTAGACTTTATGTAAAAGGTAGATATACTGTAGTGAGGTAGAGGAGGAGAAAACAGTGATAATCTTAGTTTAAAACCAAACAGAATTAACTGGGTTATGGACAGCTGTCTGTTTTATCAGTCTGAGGCATAAAAAAAAGTGAATATCACACAGCTGCTTATAGAATAACGGCATTAAAACTTACATTGTGATAGAGGCACATGTGAGGGGAGAGGTTAAAAAAAGTGCAGAAACAATGTTTTAACTATAAAATAACCCTCTAGCCATTCTAGCAGTATGCATTGTAGGTGAGCGTAAAAACATTACTTTGAGAGAGAGAAAGGAAAAGAAAGTTTGGGTACTGATTCAGGAAAGCATTAAATGTTTTCAAGTGATGTTTTCAATTGCAATCTTTGTTTAATATGTTGTACAGAACATACTGTGTTATTCTAGGTAACCGCTGAAATGTCTTTATTTTGTGGAGTGGATAAAGTCGTAATAAGTCTCTTTCAATTGCCTTGCAGTTAACTTTCTTCAGCAGTCTGAAAAAAATGAGAATAATAAATGAGAAGCTGATGAATGAAATCTCGAGTCACCCGCATGATGCAGATGTGAGTTACAGATGCTGGATATTGTTTGTATATATATACATAGGTATACAAGTGTCTCTGTTTCTGTTCTTATGATAGGTTAATCACAACACAGAAAGTACTGGTGCTTCTTGTGGCATAGATGTGCTCTGAGCCTAGTTAGGGAAGTGACTCCATGTAGACATTGCTACTGCATTTGATCTGTGGTTACGTTCTTGTGTTTCTAGGTGGCACTGAACAATGACGCAGAGATAATTGCACTGGAATTTGGAGAAATTTTCAAAACTCTGGAAATGAAGAAACAGCAATTGCTAGAAGATGTTGAAAATCAAAGAAGTAAAAAAGAGAAAGAATTTCAGATTTGGAAAAAAGTGAAGGAAAGTCAAAAGAAGGCGATTGAGAGTTTCTTGAAGGACTGTGAAAAGCTTGTCCATGAGCGTGATCCCCAGCGTTTCCTGGAGGTGATGGACTTTCTGTTGTTACTTGATATCAGTTGTGTAATGAACCTCAAATGTCATATAGAGCCTGCTATATTGTGAATTATGATAATGATTAGATCAGGGAAAAAAAAAAAACAGACAGAAATTATTTAACACTTGATACTGTTCTAACAGTGCATTTCATTTTAGAAAAGCTTGAAAAGCTTTCTTTGTAGCTTATTGTTGATGGTTTATGAATTCAGTAGATGCTTAATTTCTTCATTGCAAACTGATTTAATTAATACTGACTGTATAGCTGTTGCTGTAACACTTGCTATATTATGCTACCAGCTGTGACAGCAAACTGCCTTGGTACCGGGCAGGGAATTATTTACTCCCTTCAAAACTGTCTCACATTTATTTGCTTTTTCATATTTATTTTCAAGTTCTTTGTTTATTAAGCATTTCCATTACGTTTTTAAGCTTGTAAGACATTAAAAATACTTTTTGGGGAATGATTGGAGCCTGAACCAGTAATTCCTCTGTGCTGCACCATGGAGTACCATATTGGGATACCTGAGCTAAGGTGATGCTGCTGATTCTGAAGCCTTCTGTAAACTTTGCACTGAGGTGTGCAATGGAGATACATCAGCCTATTCAAACCGAGCTTAGGTACTTCTGATACACACTGTATTATGTAGTGTATACACTTCTGTACACAGGACTCTGTAAGTTTTCCTCATAGTATTTAAGGCAACTGCGGAAAAAACAACGTTTCTGATTTAGAGGGAAGTGCTGTAGGAACCCAAGACACAAGCTTAATCTTCACTGTTATCTAGGCTAGTGTTTCATCTCGTTGATGTCAAACATTGTGGTTGCACTTGTATGGAATTTAGGCAGATAATGGATATGAGGCAAAGTACTTAAATAACTACTGAATTTTGTGTTTTCTTTAACTTTAAGACTTACACTTTCCGAAGAAACCACAGCATATTGCTGTTTTCTATGATGGGTCTTTTTGCTGCTTTCAGATAAATAAGAAGCTAAGAAACTACTTAAGAGTTTGGCTAAGTTTCTGGTAACAACTTGTTACCCAAAGTAAAAACGACTCCCACTTTTGGAAGAAATATTCTGACTCCAGTGATTAGTTTATTTAGCACCTTCCCACCTGCCATAACAGTAAGCAGCTCATTTTGTTGAGCTGGGGGATTGTTGTTGTTTTAAGATTCAGTACAGTGAGATCACCAGGTTTGTATAGGGAAGCAGCTAATCTATAGTCCAGTCAGTTTTTTTACATATGGGTCATGATTTGAATGCCTTCATCTGGCTCTGAAGGAATTCTTTTTTGTCTTAACACAAAATATTACAGGATAAGTCATTTTCCCAGGCATACTGGGCTTTTTTCCTTTACATTTGGCTGCTCTTTTTTTTCGTTCCTTTTTTTTTGGTATATTAACAGGTTTATTTCCTATAGTTCTGTAACTTGAAGACATGGAGTTTAGTCTGAAGTATTTAGATAAAGCAATAATCTCCTTTTTTGAGAGTTGGAGGAAAAGTCATTCATATCTTACGAATTCTTGTTTTATTTATAGGTGGCCTGTGGCTTGAATACAAGGTATATATATTTTTTTTTCATGCTTTGTTAGTTCTGTAGTGTAGTTCTAGGATTAAAAGCTAAGAAAATAGTTGCTTTGGGTATAGTCAGATACAGCAATTTAAAATAAAAATAGTATTTAGTAATTAAGACATTATAATACTTTCAGATTTTTGGATGCTTTGTATTCCAAATTTTAGTAAATGTGTCAAGAATTTCAGTTTTGCTATCTGGCATTAGAGATAATCAATCCTTTGAATTGGCTTCCTGACAAAGACTGAGTATAGGAATTCATTAATACCTAAAAATATCCAGTCACCATGTATCTTAAACTCAGGAACACTTAAGCATGCCTGGAGCTCTTACTTTAAGACTAAGAGTATGACTCCATGTATGGAGATCTTGCAGCATCTTCACTTTTGTGTTTGCAGTGCACATTCCCTATAGAATTCTTTCTAAAGATTCTTAATTATGCCTCTTATCGCTGTCCAAGCAGATTTTGAGAGAATATTGGAAATAGAGTTCTTTGAACTATACTGTGGGTCAGACTAACATATTTTCTGAAGAAAGTATAATTTAGATTCGGGTACAGTTCACTAAAAAGTGGTATTTTTTAAATCTTTTTGCTGAACTATGGGCACTACTTCTTGGAATAGTCACTGTGTATGAAATCTAATTCAATTGAATTGTTAAATAGCAAATTTTAAGAAAAAAACTTAAGAAACTTGATGTTTTATTGAAGACTTTTTCTGATTTCTTCTCCCTCTTAGTGATTTCTTCTTCTCTTTTTTTTTTTATTAGGCAGGTGTAATTTAGTTGTTGGCATGTGAGCCTTGATAAGTGTTTAAGCTTGGGTTCTTTTTTTTTTTTTCCTTTTCCAGAATGAAAACTCAGCTTGACGTGATGAATATAGCATCCAGCTATGAAAAACCACCAGAGTATACTCAGAAGAAAATGGACATCAAACCTGTGGTTAATGAAATCCTGGCTTTGAAGTTAATGCCTGTTAGTGTAGGCATTGTTAAAGGTAGGGAAGAGGGACTTACTATAGGAGAATATTCGGGAAGTCGCTCTAGGAGCTTGCAACTTGGGGAACTAATTACTACTAAACAGTCTGCATGGCAAAAGCATGCAAGTGTTCAAAAGGCAACTGAGCAAATTGATGAATGATAAATTCATCGAGGGCTCTTAAATGAATTTTGTGAATCTAGAGAAAGCACAAAGTCCCTCAGCTGTAGTTTTGGAAGCTGGGGGAAGTATCATTATAATTTTCCTAAGCAACCCGTATTGCCATTGTGGGAAGTGTGTTGCTGAACTAGACAGGCGTTTGTTGTAGTGCGACATGAACATTAACTGCACTCTGATTAAATGTTTTTACACCATGGGAGAAAATGTGACATTTTGTGTCAGGGCAAGCATCTCCAGGCATTTAGAAAACTTCTTATGCAGGCCTCTTGCTTTATATCACAGGGGTTTCCAAAAGTACTGAGGCCTCGCTTAGGGCAATATACTTTTGTTCTTAATTGGAATCTCTGTTTAAATGCACAGAAATCCTTCAGTATTTTCCATACTTAATACGGGCACCATAAGTATTCTTGGGTTCTTTCTAATAGATTTACCTTCTGGAGGAAATGAGAACTCAACAAAAAATACTCCACTTAAAAATAACACAAAGCAATGTGAGGACCAGAAGAGCACGCCCAGTGCATTTCTTGTAAGTTATTGGCTGTGGGGCTACAGCATTGTACTACTTTGTTTATTTTGTCATGTCAGAATGAACTATAATGTCTGCTGCAAAACATTTTTCAGCCTGTAGCAGGACAGGAGGAAGCACTAGCAGACGGTAGCAGGATCTGTACTCGCTTAATGTCAATATCAGAAATGTCAGCATTTCAAAACATGAGTCATGAGGTATGATTGAACATCTCTTGTAAGTATGGCGAAGTTACTTCTTGTTATGACACAACTTTCTAAATACCTTTCATTTTGGCTTTTTTAATAGAAAGGTACCCTTCTGATTCTAGAACATAAATCTGACTAGGTTATTAAAGCTGTCAGGATTTTACTCTTTTTTTCTTCAGAAAGCTGGAATTTAATTTTACTGTTAATTTCAGATACTTATTTTTATATTTTGTTGTGACTTCTTGAGTCAAATCTGTAGCTTTCTAATTCAAATAAGCTTCTCTGTTGCCTGTTTGAAGGGGAAGTCATCTGCCTGTGTTATGTTCTCTGAAGATGATAAAATTAATTCTTTCAAGACTACATAAACTACCATTTGACATGAAATCCAGACTTTTTTTTTGTTTCATTTCCAATGATTTAGTTATATAGCTGGATTTTTACCTAATAGCAGTTCCATGTGGGTGGCTGAGTATTGTTCTGTACAGAATGGTTCTAGTTACAGTTAGTGAAGCGTGGCTGGCAGTGAATCACATCATGTATGTTCTGAGAATAACAATGGCAGATGAGTAAATGAAAAAGTCTCTTAGGTCCTTTAAATACAGAGTTATTTTCTTTTTGCTATATTATTTTGGAGAATGTCTGTTTCCTATTCCAATTGACAATGTAAGTTATATAGTTACTGTATTTAGTTTAAAAAAAAAAATTAAAAGCAAAACCCAGAAATAATCCCAGCACTTAAGTTGCTTTCAGATGGTTATCTTTCATGACAATTGGAGAAGTTGTCCTTTAATGTCTAAGATAATATTTTTAGTTCTTTCTAGTATTGGCAGTGACTTTAAATACAATTTTCTATAGTCTCCTATTTGAAAACTTACTTTGTCATCAGGGTTCCTTGTGTATCTTGTTCAACTGTTTTTAAAGAACATTTTCAATAATTTGTGTTCTGTTGCCTTCTAGTGGCAATGAAAAAATACATCATAAATGCAATAGAATATACAAAAATATTCTTCAGTATTTCTTCATTGTATGTGAGTTTTATAACCTCTGAATCCACAATTGCCATTTCACTTAACAGGTTTTGTGTTTTGCTGTTGTTTTTTTTTCTGTAATTGTAGGAGTTACGTTACAAATACTATATGGACCGTCAGAAGATCAGCAATGAGTTAAAGACACAAACTTCCCTTGCAAATAAGAAGCATAAATTTGGAACTGCCGAGGCTTTGAAGGATAAGTCCTCAGGAACTCCCTCTGTATCTTCGCCTACCAAAGCAAATAACACGGATAAAGTTAAAATGGGAACTCTGCAAAGAGCAAATGGCTTTGAGAAAAGTTTTTCTGGAACCAGTAATCACAGCATCCCATCCACAAATGTGAGCTTTTCGGAAGCAAATGGTGACTTAAAATTATTTCCTGAGAGAAGTTCCCAGGAAGTAACCACTCCAGCCTTATCAGAAAACTCTAAAGACCTAGTAGTTAGAGAAAAATTGCCAATGCAGGCGTCGGCAGTTACTGTTTCCAACGAAATGGACACAAATTCTAGCACTTCATCTGGCTTAAAACCAGCAGCATCAGTTGCTGTTACTGTTTCAAATTCAGAATTTCTAGATGTTTCTGCAGAGAGGCTTTCTGCTTCACCTTTTGCTTTCAGTGCATGTAGCAACTCATTACCCAGATTTATTAAAGATGGGCGTACGTTTTCCTTTAAAAAGAAAGACAGGAAATACGTTTTCCCTCAATTTTATCTGGGAAAATGCGATCGCGTGGATAAAACTGATAATGAAGATGAAAGCAAGCTTAGAAAACATGGTCCTGTAACCAAAACCACAGTTTCTGATGCTTCAACCAGTCCTAATTTAGACTCAGCAAAAAGCGAGAAGTCAGATTTTTTGTTTCCCTTTAGGAATTCAGAAAGAGATTGTTTTGCAGGATTGGGAGTCGGCAATTCATCTACAGCTTTACCATTATCCTCATTTTTTAGCCAATCTGAGAAGCCATCTGACAAAAATACATCGTCTCACGTGAGAGAAAAAACACTTTGTGCAGAGGAAACTGCAGAATGTGGTACGCAGAGGCCATCTGTCTCAGGGGAACAAAAACCTAATGCCTCAGAATCCAGCACAACTGCAGCTTGCAGTACGTCAGAAACCAACGCTGCAGCTGGGGGGAATGATGTCTCCGAGTTCCCCCTTCTCCCCAGAAATTGTGTATTTTCCTTCAGAAATAACTGTTTTCAGTGGCCTTCACCGGTGTTTTCATTTGGAAGTATTGTCAGAAATACTTCCGACTCGCTGACATCCTCCGTGCTTTTGTCTGGAAATGGTACTGAAAAAATGGAAAAAGAGACGATGAAATCTCCTGAGAGAACACCTCTCAATCCAGAGAAGCCTGTTTCTTCAGAGTGTGCAGAACCTGCTTCTAGACACAGTCATCCAAAAGGTGAAGGCTGCTTCTTTCCCATGAACTCATCTAAGCAAACTGAAAGTGCAGCAATGCTTGCTGATAGGAATTCTTGTGGCCAGCCCTTATGTCCACCTGTCCTGCCGGAGAAATATGATAATGAACCTTCCACTCACCTTACTGTTACAGCAGCAAAACAAGAAACCAAGGTAAAAGATGAAGAAAGTGAAACTGTTGCTGAAAAAGGCTGTTCCTGCCCTCAGAGGGCACATGCCCCCGGGTCTGTGCTGTTGGAGGATGCAGCTGGTTCCACTCCTGGCACGGGCCATGGTCCCTCCTTGGGAGGCTCCACGGTTCCGGTGGCTGGGGCGGGAGGGACGGCGAGTGACAACGGGTCCGACACCGAGGAGCTCAGTCACGCGTCCGCCTCCACCGATACCAGCAGCGCATCCGAGTACTTCTCTGTTGCTGAAGACAAAACATCTACTAGAAGAAAATCGGAGACGTGAAGAGAGAGTGAAATGGAAGATAACTTTATTTAAATAAGCTGGAATTAAATAAATGCTTCTTAGCACGTTAAAAAGTGGGGATACCTGTGATTTTTATAGCTGTTGTTTTCCCCGATTCTTGCCAATGGAGGTATCTCTTAGAAACCTGCTTATCAGCAAGTAGAATGTACTAAAGTGATTTTGTTGGTACAAACCCAAACGGAAGAAACAACCAAAAATGTTTTATCCTGTTACAGCTGATACAGTCATACTGAAGTCTTTATCTTTAAAAATGCAGACCTTCCACCTTCCTAGAAGTGTCCCTGGGGTATGTGGGGGGCTGAGGTGGCCCAGAAGGCAGGTTCAGTGCAGCCCAGCAGCAGGGAGCAGTAGATGGCTGTTTGGGGACAGCAGCACTTGCCACCAAGGTTGAATCCATAAGGAGAGCACAGCAGCCTTCACCTCATAGGCAGGGAGGGAGCAGAGCCACGGGGGAAAGTAAGGGATGTTGAAGGCCATTACAGAAAATTGTTTTGCACATCTCCCTCTGGTTGGTTTCTTTTTCTGTGATGTATTTGATTGATATTGAAGGTGTGATTTCAACAATTGCCCTTATGCTTTTGAAATTGAGACACTACATCAATGTTCTTGTTACACATTGCAGTAAGGTGTCAGCTACACTTTTGAAATGCTGCCTTTATTAAAAGTAACCACCACAACTAATTTTCAGTTTCTTTTGGCAGCAGTTGGGGAATCAGTGGGCAGACAGCTACTTGCTGTTTTTATGAAAGCATTAGGAGCATCTAGCTTTTGAAAAACACAAAAATCTCCTCTTAAAACTCGTGTAACGAGGAAAAAAGGAAAACGCTTTCCACTGTAAGTATTAATGATCTAGAATTCAATGAATCCTTAGTCTGTGAAATATGATATGAAATGAGGATAAAAATACCATCTTTTCTAATTTATTAACCATTTTGTTGCATTTAAGAGATAACTGTTGTCTAGCCATTAGAATACATAGATGGTAATACTATTTCAGATTAAAGCGCTATTTCATTTAGTGCTCACTTTCCAGCAAGAGCTGGTGTCAGATCTTACATGAACTAACCCTGTATTAGCTGGACACAAGAACTGGCAATTGTTAGATCAGAAAGTTTAATATCACTTCAGAATTTTCCACTGGCAACTAGATAATAGTCATCTTTAAAAAAATAATAATTTAAAAATCATTCTTTGTAACTTCATAAGAGAAATATTACTTACATTTAAATCTCTGCAAGGCTTACTGATATACTTACTGGGACAGAATACTATTAGAAATCCTATTCTTGGTTTAGGAAACACTGACCTAACTTTGATTTGTTTTAAATTCTTGGCCTTAGTTTTTCCTGTGTCAGTGCATTACTCTATTAAACATGCCAAAAAATAATTTCTAGAATTCATAAAACTTAATAATCTTCCATTTGCATCTGCATTATTATAAGGAAGGTGGTGAAAATTCTCTTTATTGTTAGTTTTATAGGTCTTTATGTTCATCTCTGTGGAGAAAACCTGAAATGCAGTAAGACAAGAATTGTTCTTTTATCTCTAGATACTCTTTTCATGTTCTGTGTATGTAGGGGAGAAGTGTTAAAAAGGTATTAAGTTAAATTACTGTAAGACAAAGGCTGGGCATCATGATTATGGCAGAAAGTGCCATGGATGGAGGCTGATCTCTCTATAATGAAAACAAGAGAAATGGGACAATTCTAGAGAGACAGATAAGGTACTATAAAACTTGTTGCCAGAAGGTTGTCGAAAATACTTGTTTTCTGCTACAGTGACTGAAAAAGAAAAAAAAATCCTAATGAGCTTGGGTTATTCAGAAACCCCACTGAATTTCTTCAAATTCCTCATTTTCAACCTATCTTCTGTTCATTTCTATTGCAGTGTTTCATAAGAGTTTGGTAGAGTTAAACTTTAAAGCGGATACTTTGTCTTTTTAGGGAAGAGACACCATTGTAAAATCATAAAGCAAATAGACTATGATACACTATTTTTAAAAGCAGAAATTGTTGGCATATGGGTTCAGTACAATCCTAGGACTGCTTTTCAAGCATGGCAAGCTGTTGTTTAGGTGCATTATAGCTCAGCGTTCAGGTTTTACAAGGAGACAAATGTTAAGCAGGTTGTTTTATTTACAATAGGTCACCGTAAAATTAGGTCCACCCAGATATTAAATCAGCAGAATTACTGATTTTTCTGATGCTTTCTCGCATTGATTCCTTGGTCATTTTGACTTAATCACGTGGTCATCTTTCACTACTGACTCCTTACTAAAAGCCGTACCAGAAGTGAGCTGCTTTTCAGATACAGTATTAAAAGTGAAAAGTTGACTGCTGACTGCTGTTACTGATGCTTTAAAGAGACATTACAGTCTTCAGCATATGAAATTAGTAGCCTGTGAGAGACCTAATAAGTTTGTTTTTTCACCCAGGATTTCATGCTTACCCATCAAGTAACTGAGAACTCAAGAGGGTCGATTTCTGATGTTATTCCTTGGTCAATTAATTGTGTCTTAGCTAAAAAGATTACTCATTTGTATCAGGAAACATGAATGTGGAAAGGTTCTAAATAAGGTCACTTATACCCAGCTGAGGAACAGTTGTGCAGGATTTATCTACATATGGCATGACTTGCAGACAGGAAAGAGTAATTTGAGTAAATTTCGCAGTCCAAGCAGAGCTAAAGCACTCTTTTCTACCACTATGTTCCATTTCTATCATAATGTTGTTTCATACATTAAAAAACTGGAAGGAGAGAAGAGTTTAAGCCAGCTGATGGCAGCTCAGCAGCACTACGTGACTGCGTCAGGGTTCCCCCCGCCCCGAGTATCTCTTAGCAGCCTGTTGCACGTGGTTTAATGCTGCCTGAGGAGATTTCAAGCCAAAGACTTTATCAGTGATTGTTTGATGAACATGAGAGCTAATCCAAAGAAGTGGGATTCTGAATAGTCCTTAATGCACATCTAGCTTATCAGTAGAGAATTTCCATCGCTATCTTTGTCATTGTTATAAAATTGTGTGTAGCAAAAATTGTCAAAGCCTGATTTTCTTGCCTAAACATCAGTGTATGTTTTTTCAGGCTACAAATGCACTAAAGTGTAGCATTAAACTTGAAGAATTTTCAGGAACAGGTTGAAAATACTGCTGAAAGCTCCTTCCAGCAAAAAACCAAGAAAATAGTTAGGAAATGTGTTTTACCAAACTCAGTAACTTGTCTCGCAAGGTATTTTTGACCAGTATGCTAGAGATGTCTTGGATCTTTGACTCTTAAAGATGCAAGAGGTGAAAAATGAAGCAATTCTCCATATGGTTGGATCATTTTATTAATTAAACTTCATTGTACTGATACAAAACCCTCTTCATACTTAAAATTTTGTAGGCTAAAATTGCAAACCGGTGTAAAAGATTTTTATAACAGTTCATTAAGGTCCTACTACATAATTTACTACAAACCTTGGAAAATAATTATAATATATATTTTTATATATATATTATAATATAATTATAATTGCCAAAGTAATTGCTGAATGCCCTTCTCAGTGCTGTCCTACTGCCAGGCTACTCTCACCAGCTGTCAGAACTATGACGTTTGCTCAGTGTATTTCTGAGAGCTCTTAACACACATAGCACTGCCTAAAAAAAAAAGTGCAACTGCAAGATAAGTGCATTTACCTAGTTTGTAATCTATTGGAAACAATTATTTAGCTGATATTAGAGCTGCTAAAATGTCAATGTGTAAAGATTAATTTTCTAAAGTAAGCTTTGTATTACTAATATTGGATATTACTAATGCTTTATTATGAAACATATTTGATCACTCAGATGTAGTCATTTCCTAACTTAAAAGGCAGCTGATCTGTGTGGTGAGAGTATTATGTACTGCTGCTTTTTTTTTTTCCCCCTTCAGGTAATAGATTTCAGTTTCTCTTCATAGCTTGCATCCAGTTGTTGAAATGCCAGTAGAACGTTGTCATTTGGATCATCACACAGTTCACTCAGTGATGTTCTGTTAATAGAAAAAAAGAATAGGCATTATTTCACTTGAATTTGCTTTCAAGGTGAAATATATATTGTATATTTAAAAGCACAAGTTTATCATACCTAATAGACTTAATGAGGAGTGAAAAATCCTTGAGTGCATAGTAAGCATCTCCTTCATTTAACCTAAAGAAAGAAAAAAAATATATATATATATTCAAATTGATATGTGCTATAACACACTGTTTCACCTTTAATAAACCCTGCCATTTAGGTTGGGTAAGGACACAGAGAGCATCTTCCATGGCCTCAAACACAGACGTACTAGTCCATTAGGTTTACTGCACAATATCTGTAAGCTTAAAACAATAATGCTGTAGATGCACGTTTCTATAGTTATACTAAACATATAAAAGACTCAAGAATAAAATTTGCAAAGATAAGATAATTTATTAATATTCTTTTTGGAACATGGTTTCAACTGTTTGAATAACTAACCTGTCACAAGCTAAACTGGAACACTCTATACCAAATGAAACTGCTGGCTAAATTGAGGAGACAGTGTAAGCTTTCTGCAGATGATGAAGACCCTGTATTTTGCAAAAAGGTGGACTGATTACTGAAAAGCAACTTAGTAAGTTAACTGTTCTTATTAGAATCTTTGGAGAGCTTACAAAAACAGCAGATAATATTATATGCAACCAAAAGCACCCTCAGGGAGCAGAGTGAGGTGGTATTTTCTTATTTGAAAATAAGTTACTGGCTATGAGCACGAAGGCAAAATAAAGATACTTGATAGAGTAGTTGGGAGAGGGAGCTTGTGGTTGAGCTTTTTTGAGCTGACGTTGGGAATAAAACAGAAGTGAATGCCCTCATTAAGAACTGCAAGCCAGAAGTTTTATAAAGAGGTTGATTTAATGAACAAGGTCACAGAAGGCCAGTGAGATTCAAAGGCAAAAGTGATAATGATGAAAATAACAAGACATTAGATTTAGCGGGCACATCTCTAAAAGATTGACGAGGACAACAGGGCTGTAAAAGGTAAGAGCAAAAGAAAGAAAATCTCGTATTTA